TCCCAATCATGTAAATAATATTAAAGGTGACAAGCATGTTTCCTGTACAATTTATATTTTTTGGTACAATATTATGGACTCTACGTCCACAAACCATGAGAGAGTGAGTGTGCAAAAGTTGAACCTCGAAGTAGTGAGAGACTGCTGTACTCTATAATTTTACTCCCACTTAGAATTCCTAATTTGTGCATCACAAAAGATATGCATACCGTTTAAATTTAAAGTGCAAAAAGCTTGCTTTAGTTGCACTCAACCCCGTTTCTGTCCTTTGCTCATCCAGTAGTTGTTTGTTTAACTGGATTTTGATCCAGTTAAATAAACACACTTCCACACATTGTTAGCAAAAGCGGTTTGAAAACTGTTATTTTAGGGTCTTAAACCTAGGTCTTAAACCAGATCCTAAACCTGTTGAAGTAATCAGCAAGGAAGTACTGACTGATTACCAGTACATAAAGTGAAAAATGAAAAAAATAGAGGAAAAAAATCAAATCTTTGGTGCTAAATGCAGTTTTTGTATGTATTTCTTGGAAGTCAGGCTAACATTTGGGCTGCTTATCTATTTTACTTTGACTGAAAAAGCCAAGATTTCTTTATGCAATACTGAAGGAAAATTCTGTCTGCCATGCAGTCCTCAGTCCAAATCAACCCACACATCAGTATCTTCGGCACTTCATGTAATTCTTGACCGATTATTATTTTTTGCTAGTACTCAAACAAATTGGATGCGGTAAGTTAACAGAAAATGTAGTTTTGTAAATACATATTTTAAGAAGAAAATGTCAGCATGGAGGAGATGGGGGCAGTGAAGGGGGAAAGAGGCAAAAGAAAAACTACTGCAGCAGATGTGTTAAGTAGATGAGTGGAAAACATAGATGATGACGAAAAACTGATAATAAGACATGGTTTGAAAGGTGGCATGGCCCTTGATGGCTTTAAAGTCCCGTTTAACTCGCTTATCCACCAACAGCTTTTAATTATGGCTCTCTGAGTTTCTGTCACGGTCAACATGTGGGCTGTGCTGTGTGGGTGGACGCTGCCTGTACGCACTACTCTATGTTTAGCTGTCACTACTCGTTGTGAATAACATGGAGGTGCTAGAGGATGCTGGCAAACACAGACCATTTCAGACACACATCCTTTGTTTTCCTGACACCTTAATTAAATAGCTAACATTTCAACATAAAGACTTAACACCAAACAGATGTCAAGAACAATCAGTAATGTCAGTGCCTCTTGCCGTGTCTGCAGAGACTGGGGAGGAAAAACAAACCTGAACACATTCAAAAAACCTCTGACAACTTTGTACAAACACACACACAAAGGAGGAGATGATATACAGCAGAATGGTGGAATAATCTGTAATGATTCAATAAGGCAAAAGTACAAAAATGTTCTATACATAATTAATATCTGCTCATAAACAACACAGAGTTGGAGGTGGTGGAGATCAACTGGCTCCAGAGGGTGCACAAAGCCAATCAGCTGTCTAGGTCAAGAAACACTGAGTCCCTCATGAAAAAAGCCCAGCAGTGTCTGCACTTTCTCCATTGGCTGAAGAGATCACACCTTCCACCCTATGTCCTCACCAATTCCACCATTGTTGCATAGAAAGATAGTGCAGTGTAGTGAACTAAGCCTCCGGTCAAAACCTGCCTCAGAAGACCTTCATGGGACAGGAACTGTTATTTCATTGATTTGAATCCAGAAATACAAATTAGCTCATCCAGAGACTTTCTAAGTGTATCCTGAACTAATCAATTGAAAGAACACTCTCTTTTTTATGTTATCATTACTATTTTACAATGTCTTGATAATCAAAAGTGTGTTTAGTTCAAACCATTTTAAATGTTGAAGTGAACCACTCATTTTAAATCAACTGTGAAACGGTATTAATGATTTTTTAATCCTCATTCAAAGTAGAAATCAAGTTAAATGTCTGTTACAAAGTAATTATGCATTTTGATCTTCTGTCTGAAATGAGAAGTAGTGATGTCGGTCGAAAGTCAGAAAGAAGTTATTAGAACGAAGTGGATTGTTTTTAAACCTAGCAGACGGTAAATAAGAAGCTACTGGCATCTGCTTCCTCCCACTTCGCCATAACACGTCTTCTGTCTGTACGGGACGTTTCTAAAACATTCCTGCTGTTTTCTTGACTTGTAGTGACCCTCTGACGCCACTAAAACCACACCCCTGTTGGTTCTTTCAACCAATCAGGACTTCCTAAAAGTGACCGGAAGCAGAACTCTTTAAAAGTCGACACTTCCCAGTTCCAGTTAGTTCTGGGGGAAGAACAGAAGTTCTAGTGGGGAGAAGTTCGAGTGCTGGAGAACAGAAGTTCTGAGTTCCTCTGAGTCTTCTCAGAGTCCCGTTAGTTCTTCTGGTTCTGATGGAGTTCCTGTCGGAGCTACGATGCCTCGCTGTGGCTCCACCCGGTGAATGCCCTATAACTGCTGAGGAAGTTTGTTCTGTGGAACGAATTATCTCACGACTTCTGCCGAGTCGCAGCCGCCCCTGAGGAGACGCTGAAAGGTAGCGTGCCAGGGACCTCTTGACCGCAGCTGATTCATCCTCTGCCAAGGTAAAGAGTCGTCACGAGCTTCACTACCAGTGTACTGCGGGCGAACTGCACTTGAAAGGAGCGTGTTGTTCTGGTTTACAGACATACATCCCATCCATCTTTTCTTTATTATCTTAGTTAACCCTAAGTATCCACTTTCCCTTCTTAAACTTTACTCCATGTCTATATTTTTCTGCCAGTAAAGATAAGCTAAAGCCTGCAGACATTAATTTAAGATCTAAGGATATGTCTGTTGTTTTTATTAAGTAAAACGTGCCAAGTTTTATTAATCAGAGCCGATCGGAATAATCAAGTGTACAATGTTTTGATGTTAAATTTTGATTCTGTTAATAAATGACCACATTCATTTTGATGGGTCAAAGAAAATTAACGTCTCATGTCACTGATTAGACCATCTCCAACACAGTATCTCTGTCACATATCTGTCAAGTAGCTCGAAAAAGAGAGAACCCGTTATTAAATATTGATTGTAGTGGAGCTCCTAGGCTAAACTAACCCTACATCACTACAGCAGCAATACCAGAATGATGTTACCCAGTGTAAAATAGCAAATACTTTTAAGTTATCATCATCAACCGTACATAACATCATCAAAAGATTCAGAGAATCTGGAACAATTGCTGTGCGTAAGGGTCAAGGCCGTAAAACTCTACTGGATGCTCGTGATCTCCGGGCCCTTAAATATCACTGCACCTCAAACAGGAATGCCACTGTCAAGGAAATAACAGAATGGGCTCAGGAATACTTCCAGAAAGCATTGTCAGTGAACACAATCCACCGTGCCATCCGCCATTGCCAGCTGAAACTCTACAGTGCAAAGAGGAAGCCATTTCTAAGCAAGCTCCACAAGCTCAGACGTTTGCACTGGGCTAGGGGTCATTTAAAATGGAGTGTGGCAAAATGGAAGACTGTTCTGTGGTCAGATGAGTCACAATTTGAAGTTCTTTATGGAACACTAAGACGCTATGTCATCCGGACCAGAGAGGACAAGGATAGCCCAAGTTGTTATCAACGCTCCGTTCAGAAGCCTGCATTACTGATGGTATGGGGTTGCATGAGCGCTTGTGGCATGGGCAGCTTGCATGTCTGGAAAGGCACCATTAATGCAGAGAACTATGTTCAGGTTCTAGAACAACATATGCTCCCATCTAGACTTCATCTCTTTCAGGGAAGACCCTGCATTTTTCAACACGATAATGCCAGACCACATTCTGCAGCAATCACAACATCATGGCTACGTAGGAGAAGGATCCGGGTACTGAAATGGCCAGCCTGCAGTCCAGATCTTTCACCTATAAAGAACATTTGGCGCATCATAAAGAGGAAGGTGCGACAAAGAAGGCCCAAGACGATTGAACAGTTAGAGGCCTGTATTAGACATGAATGGGAGAGCATTCCTATTTCTAAACTTGAGAAACTGGTCTCCTCTGTCCCCAGACGTCTGTTGAGTGTTGTAAGAAGAAGGGGGGATGCCACACAGTGGTAAAAATGGACTTGTCCCAACTTTTTGGGGATTTGTTGACGCCATGAAATTTGGAAACTGATTTTTTCCTTAAATTGATACATTCTCTGTTTAAACTTTTGATCTGTGATTTGTGTTCTATTCTGAATAAAATATTAGATGTTGGCACCTCCACATCATTGCATTCAGTTTTCATTCACAATTTGTTTAGTGTCCCAACTTTTTTGGAATCCGGTTTGTATGTATGTATATGTATATATGTATGTATATGTATATATGTATGTATATGTATATTTGTATGTATATGTATTTTGATGGGTCAAAGAAAATTAACGTCATATATATATATGTGTATATATGTATGTGTATATATGTATGTATATATATGTGTATATATATGTATATATATGTGTGTGTATGTATATATGTATATATATGT